CTGGGGACAAAGGACAGAAATTAGCCTTCCCTGCTTAGGCTGGCCCCCCTTTCTCCCACCGAAGCGGAAAAAGCAGTGGAAACTCTGCCCTGAGCATCTATGCCATGTCTCAGACACCTATCTCTGATACTCTCCCCCATGAACTGGAGCCAGTGTTGTGGTATAAGATATATAGAAGGATATTTTAGGTCCTAGAGATAATTTCACTCCTAGTTTCCCCGGCATAGATTTGGGGCAATGACTCTGTGAGTGACTGTTGTTGGCAGGGACAAGATGTGAGCACATCAGGAAAGGAACAAACTCATGTAAAGTTCTTGAGTCTGTGGCATGAGAAGTAGGGACTTGCTTATGGTAAGGCTGGGCCCCTGGGAGGGAAAGTCAGTTACAATAACGTAACACAACAAGCTGAAGCATCTACTTCAAAGTTATGATTCCCATGTCTAGGAGTGCAGCAGGTACCATTGGTGTTCGGGGTGTGGTTGGAGCGCTTTATCATGATGTCCAGGTTAGCTTTGTCCACAGCTATGTTGGCCAAGGCACCCTGGGCCTCAAAGCTGGCAAAACGTCCAAATTCTTCCAGCCGCCACACTGTCTCCTTTTTCTCCATATCCACGTGGAAAATCTCATCACCATCGAAGTCAAACATGAACTCTCCTGATGGGTCAGGGGTCAGATAGAACTCAGCCTGGATGATCACATGGTCCTCTGAAAAAGCAGGGAAGAGAGTTAGGATGGGAACCAAGAAGGAAGAGGAAGAAGAACCCAGGATGTCAGACAAATGTATGGGTGGGAGCAGTGAAAGGGGATTGGCCATGTGGAGTGAAGGAGTGATGGAAAGCAGGGATAAGCTGGAGGATGAGGCTTAGGTGCAGGACGTCCATGTTGAACAGAGCTGGGAGGGAAGAAGTAAAGGGGCAGAGTTAGGGTGGACTGAAGGAAATGAGGCCTGAAAATCCCAGTCTTGTGAAGCTGTTGTTAGGTTCCATGTTAGTAGTTGAGAAATGATTCCCTCTTTGGGAATCCAGTTGCAGCTCTTAAAAGAGAATTGCTCACTCACTGTATTTTTCCAGGCATTAAATACAATTAAACAAGAATTCTAGGGCATCTCTCAGCACTGTAATATGAAGAATAGGGAAACACTGTTTAAAAGTCTGAGTTCTAAACCCTGGATCTAATTAAATCTTCAATTCTTATTTAGGTATTTACTTACCTAGTGATCTTGAATCGATTATTTTATCTACTTATAATGTTTTCTTATTATAATATTTCCAATTGTATTCTTTTGTGGTTTCACTTCTACCTTGGATTTGTCTTTAGAATTAAATGAGGGATGCCCATGTGGCTCAGCCAGTCAAGCAGCTGACTCTTGGTTTCGACTCAGGTCATAATCTCAGGGTACAGAGATCGAGTCCCAAGTTGGGCTCCACCCTGACTGTGTAGCCTGCCCAAGATTCCTTCTCTCCTTCTCTCTTTGCCTCTCCCCACCCCGCTTGTGCATTCTTGCTATTTCCAAAAAAAAAAAAAGAAGTAAATGAGATGAGGTAAGTAATTTCTTAATACATCACTGGGCTTTATAATCAGCATTTTAGGTTCAAAACTGCTTTGTATTTAAGGAACAGTGCCACCTCTAGCTTCCCCTTCCATCCCAGTGGAAGAGCCTCTATTTTATCAGGTATGCATCCCCATTTGTAGCTCTTTCTAGGCAATAGAAACCTACAATTGTTATCATGGGTCTTCAAGCTGGATTATTACATTACTTATTTCCAGTGTACCTGACACCTCTGTGGGGTTCAGCCTGGGTGAAGGATACTTTTTTACAATACATCTTCCCAGCAGTAAACATTTGCTCTGGAGATGGCAGAGAATAAGGAAAGAATCTCCATAGCCTTACTCACAGTTCTACTCTTTTGAGAAAATCACTAAGTAGCAGGGACCATAGATCATGGATCCACTGAAGTGGTGAATGGGCTATCCTTCTCCAGAGAGGAAGTAAATTAAATGCAGTTGGTATCAGCACACCTGCCCTTGCCCTCCCTTGGATAGAAGGTTGCTTTTGGTAACTTCCCTTTCTCGTCATCTTCAATGCAATGTCTGTGCTTAAAATATGCTGATAGGATTCACTTGCCAAAAAATAACAACCATGTATTTGGCTAAGAACCAGTTGCAAGGACTTCTCAAATTTTTTCTCATTGAATCCCCACAGAATGATGTGAGATTTCAAAATTTACTAATTTCCCAGAAAAAGAAATTAAAGCCCAGAGGATAGCTTGTTAATGCCTCTCAGAAAATATTTCCACTTCAGGTCGGCTTATCTCAAAGTTAATGGTATTAATCAATACCATTTTTTCCCTCTTAACTAAATATGACTGACTTCAATTTATGAAAAGAGCACCAAACTACATTTTCTAAATACTTTCAGATTTAGACTACATGATGCCTGCCACACTTTTCCTTCACTCCAAAGACTGTCTTGCAAATGTTTACAGTTTATCTCTCCAGTGCTCTCAGAACTTATATCCCAAGTTTTGCTTCCTTCAGCACTTACCTTTGATAGCCCATGATTCCTGGGGACCCATCAGTAAAGCCATGATGAAAAATCCTAGCACTGGGGCTCCACTTATGGCCATTTTCTTCTTTGGTGATTTAATGGGGGTCAGTAGAGCTTAAGAGTGGGGTAGAACTGACGAGAATAAAAGAAAAGAGAATGTAGGGTATGGTAAGGTCTGATTGATGAAAATTCAAATAGGTTGAGCTGAAGCCAATCAGAAAAAGTTTTGAGATGACACATCTGTTGCTAAGGGAAAAGCTCTTGTAAAGGGTCAGGAAAGGAAACCCTTCAATTCATTAGATAAACAAGTAAAGTTCTTAATCAGTCAAAACAAAAACAAGCCACACACAACCAAACAGAAACAGCAAAAAATCAAGTTTTTGAAAATAACATTTACCCACAGACTGTTTCATCCCAACCCCAGTTCTAGAAAGGGATGTACTTGAAGCACATTAGTGAGAACAAAATCAATGGAAACACCCTACATGACAGTTAGCAATTATGCCTCTGTGCTGTGACAGCTGGGGAGTTTATTCAAGGGACAACAAATCATCTAAAGAGAAGGCAAATTGTCCTGCTATGGGGAATGCCTGATTCTTGGCAGCAGTGGGTGACAGAGCTGCATGTCAGAAGCTTCTTACTGCTCTAGGTTTGTCCTCCACTGTCCTAGACTCCCAGATGGCCAACTTGGCCCAAGAGCGGGGCATCCCTGGCACTGTGCTATACTGAGAGAACATCAGAGGAGAAACTCTGAGTGTCAACACTCCCCTAGCTGGGGAAAGATGGTAGAGACGCCACAGGTAGTGGTTCCTGGAAACAGCGGACTGTAATCCCTACCATCTTAAATATGACCAGAGATTGGAGCAGACTGCTGGGGACACACCTCATGTGAGGACTCAGATTGACGAATAGGGTGGGCTAAATTGGGCAGAGCTTATTTTACTGGGAGCAATAGAGATAATAACCTGTAGGAGGGCTTTACCATAACTTTCCTCATGTCATAACATTCTGAAAGTTCTCCTCATGTCATAAATCATGGAAGTTCTGATCCTAAGAATTTATTCTGATGTTCATCATTGAGAAAACTGAAAGTTAAGACACTCTGACCCTCATGTTTCTGACCATACAGTACAGTAGAAAGGAAAATTAAACCACACACAGAGAGGGCTGGAATCTGAATACTTCCAATATAGAGAGACCTGGCAGTGAGGCAGCTGTTCAGTGGTGAGTTCACTGTTTAATATCAGTCATGAC